GCTGTACATATGACTTAGCAGTAATCGCCGTGCTGGGGTCTGAAGGTGTCTTGCTTTGACAGATTAAGTTCAAGAAAGCAGTGATTACCAGATATAGTTGGCAGGTCAGGAAAAAAACCCAGTCTTTTTCATTTGAGATTTTTTCAGAGACTTAATATGGAAGAAACCGTGATTTAAGTGGTCTATAGAAGATCTATTTGCCACCTGAATGCTGCCCCTGGAATCAGGTACATCTGTGTGATGCACCAAATGTCCAAAATGAGAACTGGGACTGCCATTCCTTCCCACAATCACCACAATGTACACACACAGCCCAGAAACTGCCCTACAGGGAAGTTACACAGCTCAAATATTTGTGTTGATATTTCAAATAAAGGAATTCAAATAAAGGAAAATTTTGGCATGCCCCAACTTTACACCGATTATTCCTGCCCTGGTACCTGGCTCAGTCCCAAGTCACACACTCATCACTCGAGCCAACATGCTTGTCTCCAGCTGCAATCTGAAGAATTGCAGATACCAGAAGGCCAATAATTCTACAATACTTTGCCTTCCTCCTTAATTTAAATGATGGATTGAGATACATGTGATTACAAGGCAATCCCTGCTGGATAAGCCATTATTCAGTTTGCCTGAGATGTTTGTAAAATGGGAATCTTAGGTTTAGACCACTCTGTATTTGAGCTCCTGCAAGAGCAGCATGCTCCATGGGCGAGGTGCACAACAAAGTATCGATCCCTCAAAGTTTACTATAGAAATAATAGACAATTGACAAAATTCTGCATGTTTGTATAAACATTCACAGCAAAGACTGTACTGCTTAGCCCTTCTTATTCTCCCAAATTCACCTACTTGTTTGCAACCGATTTACTATTTTGTTGCTGAGATAAGCCTCTAAATGCATTAAATGCAGCCGGTGCCAAACTTTTTTTTTTTCTCTTAACTTCCTCTAGTGTTATGTGCTGTGTATGATTTTCCCTGTTCAGGTTAATGCCTCTGAGCTTCTACCAATGTAGCTTGTAAAATCAAAAGGCCCTCCAAGTTATTGCTGGCAATCTGTGCGGCAGACAGGACTGTCCCCTTGCAAGAAATGTGTTCGTTTGCTTGGAATCGGAACATACAGCTAAAACCATACTCCCCTGGATGAGATAACAGAATAGGTGTCTTCAGTGATGTGACACAAATATGCTGTATTGCAAATCAAAACCTATAGATATGCCCCAGGGAACTGCGCCTTCATCTTCAAAACCAGCTGTGCAGTTATGGTTTTTTTTAAGCAAACTGAAAAAATAAATGCATGAGAAAATGCTGCTGTATAAAATGTGGCTCCGTGCATATTTGGAATTTCAAATACAGAGCACAGAACAAGGTATAGCGCAGAGGCCACAGGGGGAAGGTTAGATGGTAATTGCTTAACTTGTATTATGGTTGGATGATTGCAGCACTCACTTGGAAGGAGAGGAAGCTATTCTTTAAGAGCACAGACGCAGTTCTTCAGTTGCCGAGGATATAACAGGACCCAGATCAAGCTGTGTCTAAACATCGACATCCCTCTCACTGAAGACAATCCCTTTCACCCCCTGTCCTTAAGTGCTGCTGCTGAAATGCAAGAAAGGGCCTGGGAGACTTTTTCTCTGTAAAGCTGCTCAGTCTGTGGTCAGAGCTAATTTGGCACAGATTGAGGTCTTCTAGTAGAAGAGTTTTAAAATGAAAGAACAGGGCTGAACCTAAGAAGTAACTGAATGTATATGCAACCCCCCCCCCCGCATGTGCTTCCTCAAGCACAGGTAGCTGTTTTCTTTCCCCAGTTAACAAAAAGCGTGCTGTGGAAGAATCAGTCAAATATATGCCTACGTGTGAGCATATCTGTGACTCTCCTCTGCCTTCCTCAATTCATTGTAGCATCAGAGACCCTGTTTGTTTTGTTTGTTTTTTTTTTTAAAGAAAAAACTCCGTCCATCTGAATTCACCTAAAATCTGCTAATTCTTTGCAAAGATCACACTCCTGCATGCCTCTGTGATGTGCTGCGTAACCCACATCAGTGCAGTCAGGCCCCACAGCGGGGTGCAACCTCAGGTGACGGTTGAGGGTGAACAGGGGAAGAAGTGAAACCACAGGTCTTGGTCGCACATGCATGTTCACCTCTGTCTGCTCTTTCTCACCCCTTCACTACCTAAGAAGCGCCAGCCTGTGCGTTGCTCAGTCCATAAAGGAGCTCAGCACCCATTGACAGGAGAGGGTAAACGATAGAGCCAAGACTTGCCAGCCTAGGAATCTACCAGTACGTGTTGTCCTAACGTACAGCAGCGCTGTCCGTCGCCACCAACCACCAGCAGGTAAGGAAGAACGTAATCTCCTGCCACCCTGTCCAGACCAGCCGACCACTTCCTACGGATGGCCACGTGCTGTCTGTAATACGCCACACTCATGGTTTAGGATCAACATAGAACCGTGCGATGGCGAGCCCTCACACGCAGACAGAAATGCACCCAATTCTCTTTGATTTGTTATTCTGCAGGCTCCATGGGAATACCATGGTTATTAGCTTGCCAGCTATGTTTAAAAAAAAAAAATTGGGAAACAGACATTCTTGGCAAGAATAAAACCAGTAGAAGAGGCTACTTAGGGGGGTGGTGGGGGCACACTTCAATTAAAAAGTTGGGTGTTTTTTGTCTTCCTCAGGCACGCCCTCCCCTTCAAAGCTATGAAAAATTACTCTTGCATATACCCGCTTTTAAAATTTCTCTTAAGGCCTCAGACTGACGTGCATCTGTCATTACAGACCTGAAAAACCCCGCTGGAGGCTTTGCGTGTGCTTCCTGACAGTCAGAGCACGCACCCACAATGATGAGGCATTACTTCCTCCCCAGCCTTCCCCAGCCCAGCAGAGCTCTTTTCTTTGGTCTGAGAAAGTCCTGCACTGGACAGCATCAGAAATTGAACCCTGCGTGTGAACTGCAGCTAAAGCATCAATACTGCTCCCTTAGTATGTAAAAAATTACAGAGTTAATTTACCGCTCAATGCCTTTGCCTCTATCGAGCACAGCAAGAAATGGAAACTTTTAATTGAATAAGCAGCTGCAAAGCCTGTTTGCAAACGAGATGAGTGATATTACAAAGCCTTTATGCATTGCGTATGTATACCACCAACTTCCTGCAACAGCAAGAGGTGCCTCTGATGAGGAAGACAGGATAGCATAGTACAAAAGTCTCACAAAAAATTGTTATTCTAGCGTATTTTAGACTAACTCGTTAACTTCATTTGTTACCAAAATTCTTGACAAGAAAAAAAATACCTTTTGTAGCTTGAAATGTTTGATTCTTAGGCACTTTGTTTGTGTCCTTCAGTAAGGAGGACAAGCTCAAAGTCTCAAGCTGCACAGGACTTGACAATACAAAGAATCCTTCTTAACTTTAAACAGCCCACGGAGCTGAACCTGTCCTTTACCTTCCCATGATGCTGAAGTACATGCAGTTCTACTTAGTGTTGCTCTTAGCAAGATCCTAAAAATAGTCCTTTCTGCACTGGGTGCATCATGAAGATCCAGTGACACTTTTTAGAAGAACAGCTTTGCCTTCTCCTCCCCTACACTGCTGCATGGCACTAAGCTGAAGCCCTTCACCTCAGAAATGGTTTTACATCCTTTTGATCCCATTTAAATGATTTTATGATAATCTGAATGATTTGGGAACCTTTCAGACTGAGAAGCAAAACACAAGCGTAAAGCTGTCTTAGGATTTTAGAGAAGAGCAAGAACAACTCAAGCAGTCCAGTAAGTCAGAAGATGATTCATAAAATACGGCAATGTGTTGCGCTGTACTTCCAGTAATAAGTTGTATGTTTAGACTCCTCTTTAAGCTGCAATTGCTGCTGTACACCCACCCCAGAGCATCATCACCCAGCTGAGAGAGGAATTTAATGAGCTGCTGCTGCATGATAGGATGGAAGCAAGTCAACATAGTGAAACACCGATTCCAAAACTGCATCTCCCATGCCGCATCCACATGGCAGAGGGACAGGAGCTCTCTTGTTTCCTGAACTGGACACTCCCCTTGCTCTTCTCTTACTGCACTACTTGAACTTAGAGGACAGGACACAACTCTTGGTCGTAGTCTAACCCTTAAGGAACTCAGTATCAGTTTTGTATTATTAAAAACAGGATGGGATTAAAATGTGTGCTCAAGTGAGTTCTTCCTCTAGCACAACTTCCAGCTTCAGAAAGAGGATGAAAAGCTGCTTGAATTACAGATTATGACACAGATCTGTAACACAAAACTATGTGAGCAGCTTTAAAACAGAAGCAAAACTCAAGTCTTTCCCCCTCCCAAGCAAATGTGTTAACCAAGGTGGCAATGTCCTCCCTTTCTTTGCACCTGATCATCTTGATATGTCTCATGCAAAGCAAAAGAAATTTAACAGGAAGGAAGCAGACAGCAGCCTCTAGCAACTGGTAGCCTGGTGACCATGACACTGTTTTGGGAGGTGTGACATGTCCAGTTTCAAGGTTTCCAGATAAGAGATGGAAAGCAATTCTCTTTCATGGCAAAGAGCTCTGCCAGCTAGGCAACGATGGCATCTCCACTTCCCAAAGTGTCTTAGGAGACACAAAATACACCCCGCTCTGTTCTTCAATGGGGCAATGCTTTGATCCAAGACAGTATTTATAGCTGTGAAATAAACATGGAAGGGTAGACACTTTCTGCTAAAGTTACATGCCTGAACAAGGAAACGGGGTTAAGACAAGCCACCAGCACCGGGTTCAGCGAGCATGCTCTGGGCTGCTGGTGGCCGTAGGTCTTGCACAGAGCTGAACCCCCTGCGTGACACGAGGAGCTGGGCACTTATGTCAGGCTTGCGAGAGTTTAGTGCTGCAATACTGAACTTGCCCTACCTACCACTATTTCTGGTTCCAGCCCATGTTCCTTAAAGCCTGGAAGAGACTCCAAAGGCAAATGCTGGAAGCTACAGCACGGTGATTTTAAATGAGAGTCGGCCAAATATCAAGAACTGTGTGACAGGCAAAAATTCCACACTGACAGCAAACAAATATAAAAACTTGACAAGTTCGCTGGGGCAAGTTCTTTGTGCCAACACACTACATAAAGGAAAGCTCTCTTTGCTTGCTCACACTAGATTTCAGCCCTTCTCTTTTCCTTCAAGACTGAAACACAAAAGCCTTGCCATTCAGTAGAAGCTATGTTATCCAAATCACTCGACTTGAGAACAGTGACACAAGAAGATGTATTGGCAAATTGGGTGCTCAGGATCTTACTATACTGCAGTAAAGATTAGCAATAAAATTCACTTTTAGATTAAAAACCTTTAAAATTACCTATTCAGATATCATGTACAGTATGCAAGAAGGTAAGTGTGTTTTATTACTATTCAAAAACCGAATATAGACTGAATTTGGTTCTTATTAGTCTTGGTGTAAATTTGGAACAACTTCACAGGCTTGAACTGAAACACAATTTACGCTGAGCTGAAACAGAGCACGTGTCAATTTTAGGGTTCATTTAGGAACACAGCTGGGTAACAAGAGTCTAGGAACTTTGAATGAAGTTGAACACAAACCATTTCACAAGTTCCTGAAATGAACCTGAACAAACTACCAGCATTTTCAAATAACTTTCACTGCTATGGCCTTTCAACACAAACCAGCCTTTTTCTCCTTCACTATTCGATCACACATGGCAGGAGATTAAAATATTTTTCTGGTTGACTGTATTGCACTTTGCATCTGGGAACTGAGTTTTAATACCTTCAGATATGTTTGCTATTTGATGCGATTTTATTAAGAAACTGGGTTGTTAAGATAATGAACGAGTCCGTGGCTAGAACTGCCGTAAGACAAGTGACCCTTTTTTTCCTGGAAGACACATTTATGCGAGCAACAGGTAATGGTGGTGGTTTTGTTTGTACTTTAATCTCTAGCAGTCTTAACTGCGATATTATGCTAAAAGTATGCTAGTAGAAAAGCAATTTGAAAACAGGTCCAGCTTTACAGCCTTCCAGTATCAGTCTGGTTTAAGCTGACACAACCAAAGCTGCTGGAACAGAAGAACGGGCAGGTTCACAGGAGCGGCATTTTACACCGGTAAAAAGCAGTTTCTGCTTATTTGTCTGAAATTACGAAAACCTGGGGGCTGGGTTTGGGCTCAGTCCCAGGCCGGTGCCCCAGCACAGTCCTATCCCGGTGGCCGCACAAAAACTGCCTCTCGCAGCTCTGGGGTCGGGAAAACAGAAAGCGTGTGTGGAAAAAAAACCCAAACCACCCTTACCTGCGGTGTCGTACAAATTGAGGGTGACCTCCTTTTTGCCCAAGGTAACGCTGGTGGTGTATTTCTCGAAGACGGACGGCGCGTATTGCTGCAAAGGGAGGGGAAGCGGTTCTAGCTAGGGGCAAGCAGCTCGCA